TGATTTTTTACAGACGTATAGTACTCGAAGAGTTCTACACATTGAACGGTTCAGATTTTCAAAACGGGACCTATAGTGGACCCCCACGGTCCCAACACCATGGTCCAATCAGATGGTGGACTGGACTAAAGCCAGACCCTTTTTTTTAAACTTGTTCTTAATGCATTAAAGTGTTATTATAAGGGTAAAACTTAGGAGTTGGGAGATGTTAATAAATGCTAAGATTTTTTTTTTAAATCAAAAAATCAAGAAATTTAGATTGAGAGATTGGAGCTCTCACAAGGTTTGGGGTTAAAAACTCCCTTTTACTTAATATATAGTATAGACATGAGTAATATGTGGGACCCACTCATATATGTGTGAGATCCATACCATCCATGGTTGAAATTCAAAGAGAATTGTGTGGATTTCCAAAAAAAAAAAATTTCAATCATTATTATTCTTATTATGATCTAGATTCCTTCCATTCCATTATCTAAATAGTGTTTTGTTTTAATTACTCAAATTAACCACACACAAAAAAAAGAAGAAGATAAATTTGATGATATTTTTTTATGTCGAACGTGGTAAATTAAATGAGCTATGAATATTAAATCAATCTTTTTTTTTTAAAATAATATACGCGAATGATCCTACAAAAAAAAAATATTCAAATTATCTAAACTAACCGGTGGCACACTTGATTCATGCGCAATTCAAGTAAGTAAATATAAAAAATAGTAATAATTCAGTGTATTTGGTTTCAATTTTCTTAATTCAATTTTCTAGAAATTGAATATTTTGTTTTTCGTGTTTTTTTTAGTGAATATTTTTTAAATTTTAAACAGTTTTTTTACTTTTTTAGATACACCTTACTTAGATGTATCTAAATAGTAAAATATTTATGAAAACATATTTTAAAAAATTAATAAATATACAAAAATACGAAAAAATTATTGAATTTTCTTCTTCTTCTTTTGTATTTTTGGTATTTAATGAATTTTTTAAAGATTATTTTCACAAATATTATACTTTTTAAGTGTATTTATGTTAGGTGTGCCTAAAAATTTTATAAAAAAAATTATTTAAAATATTTTTTTTAAAAATCATTGAAAACAAAAAAAATATATAGAAAATAAAAAAGTAAAATTTTTATATTGATATTATATTATGTACATAACTTAAATGCAATGAAATTTTGTTCAACTCTTTACGTAACTTTTTTTAAAAATAAAAATAAAAATATACTGCCACATAGCATGAGCAGAGTAAAGGCTTCACTACACTAATTGAAACTTTCACTTAATAATATTACTAACGAGTGGCACAAGTGATACGTATATAATTCAAATAAATAAGAATAAAATAAAATAATAAAGAAATTAAATTTAAATATGTGTACGACTTAAGTGATAAGAGTTTTTTTTATCGGGTTCATTTTTTGTCTACTTTTTTTTGTATAATTTTTTTATTTAAAATATAAAATTTTGAAATCTGTCACGTGGCGAGTGGAGAAGCAAAGGCTTCAGACTGGGGTCTTTGCTTAATATCTATCTATACTATTATTAGCAACTATGCACAAACATATATATATTTCTTATTTTATTATAAAAAATACTAGCATATATTTGTTCATCAATTTAATAAATAAATAAGTTAAGTAGTTCATACTTAGACATAGACTAAGACATTAGGTCATAATCAAGTTGAGATAAATGTTAAATCAATTAAATTATGTCACTTTTGGTGTCTAGCACAACTATAAATCCTCAAACTAATTCTTATTCTTTTGTATTAGTGAATTATGATATAAGAGAACATATTTTTAAACTTTTACCAAATAGACAATGAGTAGTTAATAAATTGACAAATATAATTTATCATACGCTTAGGCTATCTTTGATATAAAATAAATTAAATTGTAAAACTTATAAGACAAAATGCATTTATATTTCATTGTAAATATATTTTTTGTAATTTTATTGCACTTTTTAAAAATACATTCTACCATATTTTATTTATTTCTTATAAATAAATTTTACGTTATTATTTAATTTCAAAATTAATTTTTAATTATTTATTAAGCCTGTGCATAGCACGGGTATTATGATTTATAAAATAATTTAAAAAAATTACACCCATGCTAAAAAGATTCGTTAAGCAAAGGTGAATGAGAGAGAGAATAAGAAAAGGATACAAGGCCTGTTTGGTAGAGCTTATAAGCTGCTTATTTCAGCTTTTAGCATAATTTAAGTTAAAATATTATGTTTGGTACAGCTTAAATTAACCAGTTTATAGCTTAAATTAAGGTATTTCTCAGCTTATCTCAAAAGTTGGTCAGATGGTGCTTAAATTTTTTACTTAAGCGCGCAACTGGTGTGGGGGGCTAAAATTATTTAAATGCCCTCGTCAATACCCAAATATTAATATTAATTAATATTAATATTAATTAAAAAATAAAAAATTGTATATTTCTGAAGAAAAAGAAAAAAATCAATATTAATTGAAAAATAAATATTAATTGGTATTAATTATTAATAAATTCATATGGTATATTTTTATATTAATTAAAAAATAAAAAATTGTATATTTCTGAAGAAAAAGAAAAAAATCAATATTAATTGAAAAATAAATATTAATTGGTATTAATTATTAATAAATTCATATGGTATATTTTTATATTAATTAAAAAATAAAAAATTGTAAAATAATTGTGACAATAATACTTCCATTACATTTTTAGCAAATGTATCAATTTTTATATTAATTGATACTAATTAATACTACTTATGTTAACTTTTATTAATGAAATATTTTGTTTTAAATTAAAACTGAAAAAAATGACAAAATAATCATTTTTATATCATATAAGGGCAGAAAGGACAATTATACAGTAAAAAGCTATTTTACAACTTATTAACCAAACACTACTCTGCTGTTTAAATCCATAATCTCACAGCTGCACCAAACAGCTTAACCGCTTATGTTCACAGCTATAAGTCATAATCTGATAAGTTATAATCTATAATCATTTTTCCATAGCTCTACCAAACAGGGCCACAATGTGATATACCAAAACTAGCTATTGTGAAAAAAATTTAAAAGTTGTACTTGATAGGTAAATACTGATTTCAAGAAAGTTAAGAGGATAAAGGTCACTGATAGTTCATTATTGTCATTTTCATTTTGTTATTAAATTTTTTGACTTAAACAAATGTTGCTAGATTGAGTTTCACAAAAAAGTATATACATATATATTACTATTATATGGCAAACCAAAAAAATGTAATTAATAAAAAATAGTAATAATAATTATTGAGTTTCACATATTTAATATATGGCAAACTAAAATTATGAAACCCTTAGAAAATAATAAAGTATTTATATTTTATCATAGATATAGTTTTTTTTCCTAAAAATAAAAATTTAAAAGTGAATTTTTATAATTTATCATAATTTTTGTTTAATTTTTACTAATTACATTATGATTTATTTTATTGTTATTTGGAACTTAAAACATAGCATTAATGGTAGGAGAGAGAAAAAAACGAACAAACAAAAAAACAAATCGTAAGCAAAATTGTGATAAAAATAGTAAAAATTTAATTAATTTATTTTTATTATTTTAATTTTAATTTTAAAATTAATTATTAATTATTTATTTAAAACTGTGAATAGTAGGGGTATTATACTAGTAATAATATAAATATATTGTTGGGTCCACCAACTATAGATAGATAGAAGATGTGTCCCATGATGGGTCCAATCAACTATTGTTGTCAACCCAACGGTTTAATGGATGGGCGGTTCAAGTGGGTTGCAGGTTCAACCCAACGGTTCAACTCATCCAAACTGAGTTTTCAATATAACAGTTATGTGGGGTCACTCAAAACGGAAATTGGGTGGACCAACAATTGAACCAATCGATGGATCAATCGATCAAACCGGCCGATCTGGTACAAATTTCAAAACGAACCCAAATATCATCCTTTAGTGGAGAGCCTAGTCCATATTATACCTTTAGTTAAGGAAAATATTTGAAACTCCTAGAAATTCTCACAATTTGACTTAAAATGTTGTAGTACAATAAGTGTCAACTTTTAATTTGAAAAAAGTTTGAGATCTCAAAAAATGTTCTCGCAATTAAACCCATAATGATGTTGGCATGATAGTTGTCAATTTTTTATTTGTCACACATTCAAGAATATAGATCCAACTCCCTTTCCATATCATTACAAGGGACGCGGGGTCCCTGCGGTGGGTAATCCCCTGTCGTGCCTGCTGTGCCTAAAACGACACCGTTTAATCTTCTTCTTTTTTTTATGTTTTGACTTTATTTTTTGGCATGATAAATTACATTTTGCCCTAAACCTCAAACTTTAAAATAAAAATAAATAAATTTTAAGAATTAAACCCCAAACCCTAAACCCCAAAAATAAAAAAAATAAATTTTATCCCTAAACCCTAAAATAAAAAAAATAAATTTTAAGAATTAAACCTTAAACCCTAATCTCTAAACCCTAAAATAAAAAAATAAAATTTAAGAATTAAACCCTAAACCCTAAAATAAAAATAATAAATTTTATCCCTAAACCCTAAAATAAAATAAAAAAATTTAAGAATTAAACCCTAAATCCTAAACCCTAAAATAATAAAAAAAAATTACCCCTAAGCCCTAAAATAAAAAATTAAAAAAAATTAAAAACTAAATCCTAAACTCTAAACCCTAAAATAAAAATAAATAAATTTTAAGAATTAAAGTAAAACAGTGACCAACCAAAAAGGAAAAAAAAAGAAAAAAAGAAACGGCATTTGGTTGGTCACTTTTTTATTTTAATTCTTAAAATTTATTTTTTTTATTTTAGGATTTAGAGTTTAGGGTTTAGTTCTTAAATTTTTTATTTATTTATTTTTATTTTAGGGTTTAGGCATAAAATTTATTTATTTTATTTTAGGGTTTATTCCACTATCCTCAGATATCAGTGGTGGGAAACGACGGTTGGATATTCAATTCGGGAATCATGGTCATAGAACCATCCAACTGTACATTTGAAATATTCATGCGACGGCGCAAAGAGATCGTGTCGTACAACGGCGGCGACCAGGGGTTCTTGAATGAGGTGTTTGTGTGGTGGCACAGGTTGCCGAGGAGGGTGAATTTTTTGAAGAACTTTTGGTCGAATGGGTCAGTGGAGGCGGGTGTGAAGAACCAGCTATTCGGGTCGGATCCTCCGAAGCTGTATGCGATACATTACCTGGGGTTAAAGCCGTGGCTGTGTTACAGGGACTATGACTGTAATTGGGACATTGCTGATCAGAGAGTGTATGCTAGCGACATCGCACACCACAGATGGTGGATTTTTTTCGACGCCATGGATAACAACTTGCAGAAGCTTTGTGGCTTGTCCGACCAAAGAAAGATTGAGTTGGAATGGGATAGGAAGCTCGCTAGGAAAGTTGGTTTTCCTTATCGTCATTGTTGGATTAATGTCACTGATCCACGACGGTTCAACTGATAGAGATAAATTTTTTTTTTTTTTTTACTTTAGGGTTTAGGGTTTAGGGTTTAGGGTTTAATTCTTAAAATTTATTTTTTTATTTTAGGGTTTAGGATTTAGAGTTTAGGGTTTAATTCTTAATTTTTTTTATTTTTATTTTATGGTTTAGGGTTTAGGATTTAGGGTTTACTTGTGAAATTTTATTTTTTTTATTTTAGGATTTAGGGTTTGGGGTTTAATTCTTAAAATTTATTTATTTTTATTTTAGGGTTTAAGGTTTAGGAAAAATTGTAATTTATCGTGCCAAAAAATAAAGTCAAAACATGAAAAAAAAGAAAAAAGAAAAAAAGATTAAACGGTGTCGTTCTAGGCACAATAGGTACGGCAGGGGATTACCCACCGTAGGGACCCCGCATCCCATTACAAGTGAATTTGTGAGTTTAACATTTGGAATTTCTAACATTTCTATTTAATTTATTACATTTCCAATGATATAAAGACTCAACTCTTTTATTACATCATTGCAGTTGAATTTGTAAGTCTAAAAGTATGAATTTCAACTATTACCTGTACAAATAATATTACGAAAATAACCCATTAGTGGGGGGGGGAGCAAAATTATTTATAAAAAAATATAAAAAAAATTATAATTATAATAATCAATATTTATAATATTTTTATATTTATTTGTAAATATTTTACACTGACATAATGTCAGTGTAATTTTCCCTTCTTATTATACCTACAATTAGTAGTACAATGATGCAATTTTTTTTGTAAAGTAAAATTTCATAATTAATAAATGAAAGTTAAAAGCATCTTGCTTTTCAATGATCAATTTTTTTTGGTTTATTTAATAATTTTTAGTTTATAAACTGTAAACATAAATAAATTGCAATAAACACTTTAATATGAATTTTTTTTTTAATGAGAATTATAAGAAATCAAATAAAGAATTTACAAAACTCAAATTTGTTTGGAGATGATCTAAATTTATTTGATAAGTACACTTATTTAGATGGTATCATCTCTCTACTTTTCTTTTTAATTTTTTGTAAAAAATTAAAAAATGCACTAAATTTAAAGTGTTAATTACCAACTCATCTACAAACTTAATCTGATGAAATGAGATAAATTTATTATTTATATAATATTTTCAACAATTTTAAAATCAAAAAGCTATAAATGAATAAAAAAAAAAGGGCAAAACAACCACTAAAAAATAAATAATAAAATGTCACCAAAACTATCACCCAAAAAGAAGTATATAAACCAGTTATTCACGTTTTTTCATAAAATTAAAAATATATATATTTTCAAACATACTAAGTTCATTTCATAAATAAAAAAAAAATAGAAAGTCACGAAAAAAATTCACGCCAAACAAGGCATTAATCAAATATTAATTAGGATATATTGTAGATATATTTTTTGGACGTGGATAGACGCTATTGGTCTTGTTTGGTATAGCTATTTTAACAGATTATAGATTATAACTTAACAGATTATAGATTATGATTTTAATCAGAAGCAGTTAATCTGTTTGATATAGCTGTTAGATTATAGATTTAAATTGTTGAGTAGTGTTTGTTAAATAAGCCGTGAAGTAGTTTTTTCAATTAACTTTTATTTTTTATTATTCACTATTTGTTTACATTTCTCATAAAAAATAATAACAATATTTTATAATCCATTTGTGTCTTTTTCTATTTTTAAAAAAATAAAAAATAAAAAATAAGAAATCTAAGAGTATAACCGTGAATTAACATGTCCACAGTAGAAGCTGATAATCAGAAGCACGGGGTGAACAGCTTCTCAGAATCAACTTTTTTAACTTAAAATAAGTTATTAGAATCAGAAGCTCTCTGAAATAAGTTTAACTAAACAGTCCAAACTAATTTTTTAAAAGCCAGAAGCCATAAGTTGGCTCAAAAAAGCTCCACCAAACACCCCCATTATTATGCTAGATAGCAAGTCTGTACGGAATGTTAAGAAAATCATAGATCCTACAATTAATTTAAATAATATTTAGATTCTCTCACATGGAGTCTCTCAATTTAAGACAAAATTTAAATTTGGTAAATTCATTTTAAAATTGATGTGATCTGAATTATTCATTGTTTAGTATTTATTAAGTACAATATTTATATAAAAAATTAAAATAATCAAATATCATTAACTATATATTTGAATTATATTTATATTACAAAAAATAGATAACTACTCTTCAAATTATATTTGTCGTTTATTTTTTTAAAATAAATGCGATTCAAACATATAACTATTGATATCTAATCATCTTAATTTTTTATATGAATATTTTACTCAACTAATTTTAAAAAAAGGGATTTTTATTGATATCCAATTTAGAAGTGTTTTAACCCAAGAAGTCCATGAAGAAATTTTTTAACCCATTTAGTCCCATGTATGTATAGTTTTATTCCATAAAATCCATTTTCTTGATTTACACTATTTTCTTGGACACTTATGCCCTTATATTTAATTTTGATACCCTTATAAATATTTTTTCAACGATTAGCAATTTAATGATGTGAACATTCATATTTTAAAATTTACATTTGAAATTGGCCTATGAGCGGCCCGAAAATTTTACACTCCTATCAATGTGCCCGGCCCGTTGACAATGTGAATATTCACATTGACATGTTAAAATTCACATTAATAGGAGTGTAAAATTGGCCCCCATCTCGTGGCGGCGCGAAACCCGCCCGCAGTCCATGGGCGGCTCGGGGCGGGCCCGGTCCAGCCCGTTGACAATGTGAATATTCACATTGACATGTTAACATTCACATTGATAAGAGTATAAAATTGGGCCGCGGCCCATGGGCAACCAAAAGCCCGCCCGCAGCCCGAGGCGGGCTCGGCCCGGCCCATTGACAATGTGAATATTCACATTGACATGTTAACGTTCACATTGATAGGAGTGTAAAATTAGCCCGCGCCTCGTAGCTGCCCGAAACCCGCCCACGGTCTGTGGGTAGGCCCGGCCCGGCCTGTTGACAATGTGAATGTTCACATTGATATGTTAACATTCACATTGATAACAGTATAAAACTATACAACAGCCCAAGGCGGGCCCGACTCGGCCCGGCCCGACCCATTGACAATGTGAATATTCACATTGACATGTTAACATTCACATTAATAGGAGTGTAAAATTGGCCCCTGATCCGTGGCGGCGCGAAACCCGTCCGCGGCCCATGGACGGCCAAAAGCCTACCCGCTGCCCGGGACGGGCCCGGCCCGGCCTATTGACAATGTGAATATTCACATTGACATGTTAACATTCACATTGATAAGAGTGTAAAATTGGCCCGCAGCCCGTGGGCGACCTGAAACCCGACCGCAGCCCGAGGCGGGCTTGGTCCGACCCGTGACAATGTGAATATTCACATTGACATGTTAACATGCACATTGATAGGAGTGTAAAATTAGCCCGAGCCCTGTGGCTGCCCGAAACCCGTCCACAGCCCGTGGGCCGCCCGGCGGGCCCGGCCCGGCTTGTTGACAATGTGAATATTCATATTGACATGTTAACATTCACATTGATAAGAGTGTACAATTGGCCCGTGACCCGTGGGCAGCCCGAAGCCCAACCTCGGGCCCGGCCCGTTGGCAATGTGAATATTCACATTGACATGTTAACATTCACATTGATAGAAGTGTAAAATTGGCCCGCAGCCCGTGGGCGGCCCGAAGCGGGCTTGGCCCGACCCGTGATAATGTGAATATTCACATTGACATGTTAACATTCACATTGATAGGAGTGTAAACTTTGTCCGCTGACCACGAAGCTCGCTCCGCGGAGGGCCACGAGGTAGAGCCGGCGGACCCAAACCCGGGCCACCCGGCCGGGTCCCCACGGGCTTCGGGCCGCACATGGGACGCGAGTTCAATTTTACACTCTTATCAATGGTGAAGTAGTTAGCATGTCAATGTGAATATTCCACATTACAACAGGTCCGGGCCGAGCCGGGGTCCCGCCTGGGACGCCCACGAAAGTGCGAGCAGACGTGGCGTGTTTCAAGCAGTCACGGGGCACGGGCTTAGTCGTTACACTCTTTATCAATGTGAACGTTAACATGTATGTAAATATTCACCGTTTCAACGGAGCGGGCTTGCGTCAGCCCAGGGCGGGCTTCGGCTGCCCACAGGGTCCCGGGCCTAATTTACACTCTTATCAATGTTAATTGTTAATATGTCAATGTAAATATTCACATTGTAACGAGCCGGGCCGGGCCCGCCATCTGGGCAGCAGGCGGGCTTCGGGCCACCCCGGGCCACGGGCCAATTTTACACTCCTATTAATGTGAAGTAATATTGTTAATGTGTATTCACATTTGTCAACGGGCCGGACCGGGCTCGCCCAGGCTGCTATGGGACGCGAAGTTCAATTTTATATTCTATCATGTGATGTTAATATGTCAATGTGAATTAATTCACATTTGTTAACAGAACCGGGTCGGGCCCGCCCCGCGCCGCCCACGGGCTTCGGGCCGCCCATGGGACGCGAGTCAATTTTACACTCTTATCAATGTGAATGTTAACATGTCAATGTGAATATTTACATTGTCAACAGGCCGGGTCCGGCCCGCCCACAGGCCGTGGGCTAGTTTCGGGCAGCCACGGGGCGCGGGCTAATTTTATACTCTTATCAATGTGAATGTTAACATGTCAATGTGAATATTCACATTGTCAACGGGTCGAGCCGAGCCCGCCCCGACCCGGGCCCAGGCCCGGGCTTCGGGATGCCCACGGGTCATGGACCAATTTTACACTCTTGTCAATGTTAATGTTAATATGTTAATGTGAATATTCATATTGTGAACGGGCCGGCCCGGGCCCGCCCCTGACGACGGGCAAGTTTCGGGCCGCCCACGGGCCGCAGGCCAATTTTACACTCCTATCAATATGAATGTTAATTTGTCAATGTGAATATTCATATTATCAACGGGCCGGGTCGGGCCTATTTTTTTGGCTTATGGGCCGGCCCGGCCTGACTCGAATTTTTTCGGGCATCCACGAGGATCGACATGAGCCGGGCCCCTACATATTGACGATATAAACATTTATATTGACGGTGTGAACAGTCACATTAAGGGTATTTTGGTAATTATGTCACCAATAGGACTTATTGAAACATAAGAAAATAATGTGAACTAAATGGAACATAAGTAGATGAAAAGGGTATTTTGGTCTTCTTATCTCAAATTGGACCTAATGGAATAGTCAAAAAGAATATGGGTTGAATGGAATAAAGCTCTTAGAAAATGGACTTATCAAAAAAGCTCCCTTTAAAAAATAAATGGTTTGAATTATCAAAATCAGTCCAAAAATTGACCCATCAAACTCAAATGTTCTCTATTGAATGACCAATTTGAGAGAATTCAAGCTCAATTAAATATCAAATGGGTCATGTTATAATATGCCTGCTATATCTATTACAATATTACATTACATGTAAAGTTATAATTCAAATTAGTATACATTGATTATGAATGTGGTGTATGGTTTATTATGAGTCATTGTCATGGTAGAGTTAATAATAAATTATTAAATTAAAATTAGTTATGTCCTGTTATAATGGTGTTTAATTAAGTTTTAAAATTAGTTACAATTAAAATAGTCTTTGATTATGTCTTAAAATAATATTAGTTATGATTTAATACAATTATGATTAATTGTCTCAATTAATATATATACATATATATATATTTGTATTCAATAATCAAGAATATGTATGATATATCTTTTTAGAGCGTATATGTTGGCTTATTTTTCCTACGAAAGAAAATATCATAAATGCGAGCGTACCAGAAAAAAAACACTAAATTCAAGCTCTTTAAAAAGAAAATTCTATTTTAAATTTTTTTTAAATTTTAAGATTAAATCAAAATAAATTAACACAACATATATAAAATTATTGTTACAATCGAGTCGTGTTTTGAGAACAGTTTGGAGTTTTGACTTGACAATTTTACTTTTAAAACGACTTGAGTTTAGTTTGATAAATAAATAAATAAATAAACTTGAATTAGTGGTGGTGTGCCTAACAAGTAACAATGGATGGTTGTTATGTTGACGAGTTCACCTTTTAAGGCGCGTTTGGAGACTGATTTCCGTTTTTTGACCACTGAATTTCTGGGTGGTCCCCACACGTTCGGAACAGACTACGTGGTCGGAATTGTCTCACACAAACCATAAGTTACACATTCAGTTTAAAAAAAAACATTAAAAAAAAAAAAAACATAAGTTACACATTGTGAAGGTCCGTACTTCTATTTTGTGGATCTGAATTGTTAACATTTGTGGAGTATATTATTTAGGATAAAATTTAAATTATTTAAACATTCTTAATTCTAAGATTAAATTTTAATTATTTTTTTAAAAAATATCTAAGTCATGCTAATTGTTTATTACTTTTTAAACAAATTTTGTTATGAAATTACAAATATTCAACTAACTTGATTTTTGTTCATAAATATGATCTGTTAATTTAAATTATCGAAATAAATCTAGGACAAGCTCCAATTAGGTTGCATAAGCATAGTAGTAATCCGTCTCTATTATTTGAGGGAAATTCTAATGTGCACCCCTTTAAAAATGATATATAATATGCACTCCGAATTATACTATTGTCTCTTTAGTTATAACTCATGAGTTCTTTAGTTATGTTTTATATTGTGTTTAGTTATAATATTTTTTTAAATTATGATGCAAAAAATTAAAATTATGTTTTTTTTATATTTATTATAAGATACATATATATACACCATAGTGTTTCCTATTATTTGATGATTTTGAACCATGACTCTCTTTCATTGATGGAAAACACTTGTCAAACTATTTTTTTATTTAAAAATAATAATAATAAATTTTATTATTTTAATTAATAAAAATCAAGGCACCCTCGCCCTGAAAACACCAAATAATTTTGAAAAAATAACAGCAAAATGATGTTAAAAAAAATTACAAATTAATATTAAAATTTATACGTTTTAATAATTAAAATATTATATTTTTTTTATTATTTTGTAAAAAAATTTCTCAGCTCCACTTACAAGTAATTCCCCAATAATTTTTAAATACTTACGTGTAGCTTTTAATAGGTGAATTTATTATCTAATAAATCCTATGATAATTAATAATATTTTTCATCAAATACTATTAAAAACAGTCACTAATTCTTAATTTTTAGCAACAATTTAAAAATTGCCATAAAAAAATCACTAATTATAAATTTTAACGACAGTTTAAAAAAATCGTAACAAAAAAAAATCACTAATTTTTAAATTTTAGTGACAATTTAAAAGATTAATCACAGAAAAATACCACTAATTTTAAGTGATAACGATAATTTATAAAAATTGTGACAAAAAAATTATTAATTATCAATTTTTAACGACATGTGTAAAACAAAGTCAAAAAAAATATTTTTAGCCATAATTTTAATATAACTTATTTTTAATAAGATTTAATAAAAATTAAATCAAATTATTAAGATTTAGTGATAATTTACCAATAATTTTTCCACAAAAAACTGATCATTTCGTTTACGGAATCAGTCAATCAATCAGAAGTTCGTCAATTGTCTTTTATTGAATTTGTCATGGTGACAAGTTCTCTCCACCCGCCAATCGTACCATAATTGTCTATTTTATTTGTTCAATAAAAATGGACTCTTTTAGGTTTTTTATTTTTTATTTTTTATTTTTTTTAATAACAATTTCGGAGTGAGTAAAGATGAGCCAAATGCAGCCCGGCCCTGAAATTTTTGGGGTTTGAAGTCGATAATCAACTAATAAATTTCTATAATCCTTCATATTTTTTTTTCATTGAATGAAAAAAAAAATTGAAAGTAAAGCACAAAAAATTTGTGTCAAAATCACAAAAAATACTTATGATTATATTACAATAACTAATAAGTATCGCTTGATCTTCACTCTTCTTGTATTTTTAGAAACAAATAAATCAATCATAATTGCATAATCTAATTTTTTTGTAAAATCATTTTCAATGAATAACAATGCTAATTATTTTAAATGGGCATTTTAATTTTTTAATGGATTAATTGATTTTAAGTTAATTTGGGGTTTCCTTAATTTTTTTCGGACTTAAAATATACTTAATATATTAGATTAAACTAAAATAAGAGAGACCCCTTTTTAGGTCTATATTTAATGAATAACAATGTTAATTTTTTTGAATAGCCTTTCAATTTTTTAATGCATCAATTTATTTGAAGTTAGTTTGGACATTTTTTAATTTTTTTAAACTTAAAACGTACCTAATATATTACACTAAATTATAATAGGAGGGGGTCCCTTTTTTAAATTTATTTTAAGGGACCCTAGGCTATGGCCTTGTGGCCTATGCCCCTAGGGCCAGCGCTGGCCAAATGAGGGGTGAGAAGTTAACGACCAATTTTTTTTTTTTTTTTTTTTAAAAAATGGAGAGTAAAGAAAATTAGAAGAATTACATACTAAGACCAAAAATTAATTGCAAAGTAATAGAGAATCAAAACTAATAACACTACATTTGGAAGGATTGAATTGAAAGTAAGTACCAAAAATGAGAAAATTGTGAAATTACAAAAATAACCTTAATTCTATTTCTCATATAACTATTTCTATTTCTCTTCCTATTTCTTTATTCCCTCTCTCCTTAAACCTTAGCTTACCAAGCGCACCTACCACCACCTTCTTCAGCATCCGTACCACCTTCTACAATTGACAATTCCTTTTTTACCCTCCTTAACTTTTCCCAATCCCTTCATTGTCTTTCTTCACATTCTTCTGACCTCCCCCCTCTACAATCCATTCCAGTGTCAACCATGTCCCTCTCTCGCAACCCATTTTCTTCTCTACACGATGGCAAATGGCATCTCCTTTGTATGAGATGGCAATGGATTTGTTTATATTAATCTTCGCGATTGTACTGACCTATTTTCTTTATAACGCGATGGCACAACACTTCTTTCATTCTTGGTTTTAAGAACTAACTTTTGCCAAATTTGTTTTTCATTTGTAGAAAGATGAGAGGATTGTAGAAGAGGGATGGATTCGGCAAAGTGAGGCGAAGGAGGTAAATGGGATGTTAAAAAAGAATGGGAAAGATGATGATGAGTTGAAAAGGATGGAAGAGAATGGGAGGAAAAGGGTGAGAGAATGTTGTAGGTTGCGAGAAAAATGAGGGAGTAATTGCCGAGATTGAAGAAGGTGAAGAAGCAATGGCCAAAGAATTAAGGAAAAAGGAAGTGCGGCAACGGCGATGGCAAAGTTGGACAACGAGAATGAAAACGACGTTGACGGGAAATGCAAGCTTTCAAGTAAATCTTGATTGGTTTGATACAAATCTTACTTTCTAAATCACATCTTTGAAAAGATTGACAATTTTCTCTAAATCACAAGTGAATTTTTTGACGAATAATTTGTTGTTGTTTTTTTTGTTCTTTTTTTCTTTTCATTTTGTTGTACGGCTCTTTGGGATCTTGTTTCTATATGTTATTTTTTAATATAAATTGTTTTCAGGTTCTCAATAAATTAAAAAAAAGAAGGGAATAGTGGGAGCGGAAAAGAAGATAACGAAAGGGAAGGTTATTTTTGCAGTTTCATAATTTTTCCAACTTTTGATAATTACTTTCAGTCTTTCCATGTGCAGTAGTGATATTAATTTTGATTCTCTATTGTTTTGCAATTAAGTCTTCAGATTTATTGGCCAAGGAAATATTAGCTAACTCAAAATAAGCATAAGACCCTTTCGTCAAAATAGGTGAAAATATTAAAATGAATTTTAAAATCGAACAATTTTTTTTATGAATTTGTGAACAATGCCCCCCCCCCCCCATCCCCCAAGGGCATAAAAAAATAATCATAAATTAAAAAATTAAAAATTAAAAAAAACAAAACAAAACAAAACAAAACAAAAAATAAAAAGGACTTAACTATGCATTGATGCAATGTGAAAGGGAAAAATTAACAAAAGCTATTCATTAAAATTTTCAACATTATTTTGACCAAAACAATTTACAACTTATGGGGTTTCACAAAATGAAATAAGAATACAATAATAACACTTGCATACAAATTGTCAAGGCAGAGCACCAAATAGTTTTGTGGAACCTTTGATTGAATTTCACTTCCCAAATGGGCCAAGCAAGCTGCATCAACAAATCCAATCAATTCAAACCAGTGCGAGGAATGCGCTTGGAGCTCAGTGTCAGAGAATTTGCTTAGAAAGTTGAAGGTTCGACCCATGCCACTTGTGCTTCCTATACCCCTTCCCCACAACCCTAAGATTAGATTATATATTTTTTTTTTTAAAAAAAAAAAAGCCCAACATGGACACTTCTATTCATATGTTCCACCACTTGCGCTTTTCCATTGTCTTGGCAAGTTCACTAGCCAATGATGCGAAGTTTTCTGCGCCGCTTTGTAGCTCTTCAGTACGCCTGCTTAGTTTCTGGTAGAAATAGTGAGAGAAACCATGGTCAGGGGAAAATTGTTAGCTCTGTGAAGGAGTTCAGGCACTCTACCAGTTTACAAGACAAAAAGAACCTAAAAAGTTCTTTTCTCGCTAATAATAATAAATAAACCTAAAAAGTCATTTTATATTTGTTTACCAGTGTCATTATCTTCTAACAGCCAAATGACCAATTAATCCACATTATTCTCATCGGAACCTATGATTTATGACTAACATAATAACAAAATGGTTGCATATAGATAGATCATCTAGCACCTCAGATAACTGGGGTTCAGGTAATACAATTATGTGTTGGACTTTGGGCATAGGCTAATAGCACGTTAATTTGGGTCAAAATTCCAATACACGGCACATATTGGTCTATCTTTCAATGACCACAGGCAAAACCAAAGTCATCACGCTGCATTATTTCGTTCCAAATTCCAAAATATATAATTATAACTGTTACTGCTAGTTGTTTAATGGTTTACTCATGAACTTCCCACAAATTAAAGGAATCAAAGTGGGAAGGCCAGAGTTCTTGCCTCTCCAACAAACTTGACCAGCATTCAAGAAAGGAGGGAAAAAAAAAAAAAACAGTATTAGCAATTAAAAAAAAAAAAGCGATATAAAGAGAATATCTTAAGACATAAGATGACAGCTTTAGCCTACCTCAAGTTTTTCCCCGCGCTCTAAAAGTTTATCTTTTGCTTGAGCAGCAGCTGCAGAGGCATCCTGAAAACAGAGACCATGTAAGCCAACATGTTTCGTATATCATAAAACATTCACTAATAATTTTTGCATGAAATTACCCCATCCTTTCTATATTTAGCCCTAATTTCCTCAGCTGTTCTCAATCTTGGTTTCGTATCTGTACTACCACCATCAAATAGCTTTTCCCTCTCCTTTTCCTTGTCTGCACAACCAAATCAAAATGCTAAGTCCATTTTAACCTTGAAATACAAACACAATAAGACCAACAAAGAAATTTAGTATTAACCTTTTCTTTCAATCTTGATCTTTTGAGACGTAAATGGAAGAGGTGCAGGTTCATCAATGTCAATATCATCTATACCAAAATAAATATAAAAAGTCAATGGAAGGGAGGAAAAATGGGAACAAAAAAACGGAGGGAGAGAGAACTAGAGAACCTATGCCAAGTTCAAGAACATCTAGGTCATCTGTGATGCTTGTAGAAGGGTCTGAGAATGGGAACCGAGAAAATATGCCCTCTAAATGTGCCACAATAGTTTTATGACCTTCAAGATCCGCATGGTTCTCCACTGCCTTACCACCTTTGAAGCTCTTTATGATACCACCGAGAATTCGAGGGGCAGTACTCTGTAGTAACAGAAGATAGAACAACTCTTTTAACATTTCAAGAAAAAGGAAAAAAAATAGAGATCCTGAGATCATGTACAACAACCTGTTTCCTCTGATTTTGAGATGAAGTAACAGCAGCATCTGCAGCGGCTTCAAGGACTTTATCATGAAAAGAAGGCAAAGCCTCCGGAATCCTAAAATAAAACGAAGATTTTAATCAGAAATTCTACACATGAGAGAGAGAGAGAGAGAGAGAGAGAGACCTGAAGTCATTTTCAAAGGAAAAAAGAGATATGAAAGCAACTTCATTCCCATTCGCCTGTAAAATTTAACATCATAAATTTGAGATTCATATTGTACAGAGCCATACATGAGCATAACTACATTGATGAGACTTCAATATTTATAAACTCATAAAATGAAAGAAATCACCCAGACTGGAAATCAAGTATGTGCTGTTAGTACAAAATGAGAAAATACAGCAAGAAGGTCAAGTGATACAAATTCAACTCCTACATAAATATTCTGGAGAGAGAGAATGTAAATGAAGTAGAAATTTTTTCAAAAACTATAATTAGTTGCTGATTGCTAGAACTTAAAAATTCTCATGGATATATATTTACTTTTCTGCAATTGAGTTCTATTAGAATAAGATGGTCCATGAATTTTATTGTAACACGATAACCCCAACTTTTCGAGGATATCCATTTGGAACCTCTTCCCAAAATAATTATGAACTTCGTGCCTTTATCCCTAAAATCACCATGTCCTTGGTAACCCCTGTTGTTGAAACTTGAAACCTTCAATCTGAACCACACCAACTCTGACATCTTATTTGACAGGCCAATTTTAGCACCTTCCAGAATATACAGTTCAGAATCTTGGCCAGCACCGAGATACATTGCCTTATATCAGAGAGCATCTATTGCATAGTTTTATAGTGATATAGAAGATTCAAGCAGAAACTACATGCCTCATATTAGCCAGGAAATGCATGTAATGAACGTCTGGATCAGGGTGCGCTGCTTACTTTCACTTCACTGCTCTAAAGTATTTTTCCTAATTGCTATGCTTACTGATTTTTTTTATTTTTTTTATTTATTTATTTTCACGCATCCATTATGCTTATTGATGATATTGCCGGCTCCAGATGGAAAGGGTCGGATTGATCCATGCTTCCCAAACCGTTACCCAAAGGTTGAGCTCACAACAAAACCTGCACAAGAGTTCAGTGGGGAACGGGGAGTCCCCCAGCGAACCCTCAGACGAGCAAGTTAGTGGTGAGTGATCGAATGTCGGGATAGAAATGGTGATAGAGAACTTAACCTTTTTTTTGTCTTAGGAGCCGGCTTATATCCTTTGCTCATCGTTTCCTTGTCCACTCTGGGCTGACACATTGGCCGAAAGTCTATGTTTTAGCTTGCCTTGTTCATGGTGAGGCTATTCTGTTTCGACGTGAAGGGTTATCGTAATAAATGCTGCAGGGAAGCTCATTAATGACTGATGTATGGTGCAATAACTCTGTAGGATCTTTGTTTGCTGATATGGCTAGCTCTTTACTTTACTTGCCAAGTGTTTAGATCTCATTGGTGCTTGCTGTAACGTTAGGTTTTAAGAATATTGGGCTTTAGTATTTGAATCATGGATTGGGCCTTCAGTGGTGAGCCATATCCTTTATGGGCTTACCCATGTCAGTAGTCCCCCATTCCCAAGTGCCACTTTAGTCCAACGAAGGGAATAAGAAAGTAAACAAGGGTGGTGAGATATCGACAGAGAGAGGACCGACCGGGAGGGGTGGCCGAGCGGAGGGGCCGACCGTGAGGAGGGCCGACCGCGAAGGGTGGCCGAGGGGACGGGCCGATCGTGAGGAGGGCCGACCGCGAAGGGTGGCTGAGGGGACGGGCCGACCATGAGGAGGGCCGACCGCGAAGGGTGGCCGAACGGAGGGACCGACCGTGAGGAGGGCCGACCGCGAAGAGTGGCCGAGGAGAGGGGCCGACCGTGAGGATGGCCGACCCCGAAGGGGAAGTGGCGGTGCGTGGGGCGCGAGAAGCGGCAGGGCACGTGGTGAAGTGAAGTGGAATAGACAGGGGAGGGGAAGGGAATAGTGGATCGTGGTCGTACACGTGGCGGAATCCTTGAATGGGGGAGGTGGCGCGTTAGTAAGAAGTGAAGGGACAGGGTGATATAGGGCAGTGAAAAGGCAGGGGCGGGAGTTTTTCGAAATTTTTCAAACTGGTGAAATTTAACCTTGACCCTTGGAATATAGACAAACCGTGGGCGTTTGGGGTTGTCCGCTTTACCTATCTTTTTGCAAAAAAACAACACGTCCCAGAAGTAAACTCATTTATTTCCAGTGATACACCTCTGCAACACTTTGTGAACTTCCTTGTGCCCGCGTCCGAATCAATACGCAGACACGTAAGAGAAATGGCCCAAAAGGAAGTGCCAACCGCAAGGCTTGATTCGTTAGGTGATGATGATGCGGTGGAGTTGGCGGAACAGTATCGGGTGGAGCGAAGGGAGGGGAGGGTAGTTAGTCAAGCGGTGCGGGCTCGCCCTATGACAATGATTGCGGCCGCGAGGCCCATTAGTCAAGCGGATCTGGACCATTGGCACACCAAGCCAGACAGATCCACACTTACGGCGGAGGAGTTGGAGGGAATAAGGAGGAAGTACCAAATTCCCTCGGAAATAGGGTTGAGGCTGCCCACATCCAAGGAGAGGGCGTTGGATGTGCAACCGGACAAATTCAATCTTTACGAGGAAGTGCTGCGACGGGGTTTGAGGCTACCTCTCTCCCAAATAGTGGTGGACGTGCTAAACAAGTTAGAAGTGGCGCCAGGGCAGCTAATGCCGAACGCTTGGAAGATAGTAGTAGCCTGCGGGTGCCTGGCAGCAGACGACCGGAGGGACGGCAATGACAATGGAGGAGTTCTTCTCCTGCTACAAGGCCTCCGATCAGCAGGAGACGTGGGTGACGTTGCAGGTAGTGCCGAGGTCTGGTGGCAGGCCTGCCATCTTCAGTGAAGGGGTGGAGGCCGAGATGGTTCTTCGTGTCGGCAAACGGTGGGACAGGAGTTCGCACAACATGAAAAGTCCCCACGAAATCAGTGGAGCCAAAGTTAGGCGTGGAGGCCGAAGACAGAGTAAAGAAGGTGAGGGAGTGAAGGGAGGAGAAAGGAGTGAGATGGGACGAGCTGGTCCTTCCTTCAACATTGTTTGCCCTGAACTTGGGACTGCAACCGTTGGAAGAGGATCCGGCGAGGGAGGAAATGGAGGTGCGGAGGAAGGCGGAGGAGGAGGAGGAGAAGAGGTTGTTCGCCAAGGCGGAAAAATGCAAAGAGGCGCAATTGGGGCCTGCCCCGAAGCTGGTGATGAGAGAGTGGATCCGACCGCGTCCCAAGTCGGTGGGCAACAAAGACCTAACTGGCTTCGCCCCTCTGCCGCCCCCAGTAGACCCACTGAAGGTGAGGGGCAAGCAGGAGTTGGAGGCGGTTATAAAGAAACTAAGGAAAAAGAGAAGGGGTGTAGAGAAGGGGAAAGATGCCCCTGTTTTGAAAAAGATGAAGGCTGGGGGGGAGGCTGCCCCTGTTGGGAAGGAGTTGAAGGAGAGGATGGCGGAGGAGGCCCCAGAAAAGGAGAAGCTGAAGGAGGAGGGGATCAAAGAGGGCGCAGAAGAAGAGACCACTCAAATGGCTAGGGAAAAGCTGGGCCTAAGTGCCCCCATGGTGCCGATGGTGGCACCTGCACCAGAAGTAAGCTCAAGCCCCCGCGAGGGGAAAGCGGGGATCAGCAAGCCAGCGACAAGTGCCGCGCTGGCGACCGCCTTGTACCACGCGCGCACGCTGGCAGGTTGCTCGGCGGAAAGGGAGGGGGCCAGGGTCGCAACCGACCGCTTTGTTGGTGTGGTGGAAGACGCGGCGGTGAGCTCGACGGCACGTTTGTCGGAGGCCGATCTGCTGAGAGGGTTTTACTCAGCCCAAATGGAGGCAGCGACTCTGGCGACTGCCCCGATGAACAAGGCGGCGCGCACTAGGGTGGAAGTGGAGCCGCTAAGGGCCCAATTGGAATAGGCGAAATCGGAGCTCCAGAATCTAAAGATGGAGACGGCGAGGTGGAGGAAGACCGCCAGGAGTCCGTGCGCCAAGGGTTTGGAGTATGCGCAGAGGGCGAAGGTCATGGAAGTGTTGGTGGTAGTGCCTAAGAACGCGGCGGAGCGAGCTAGTGCCGAGCTCATCACAACCAAGTCAGAGCTTGAAGCGAAGCACCACAAGCTGATATCACTTGAGTTCCAATTGGCGGGCGAGTAAAAGAAACTTGAGGAGGTCCAAAAAGCCTGCACCACCGCCAACGAAAGGTGGGAAGAGGCCATGACCAGCAACGAAGATATGCGGGACCAGGCGATCAAGGACAAGGAAGCGGCCGACGGTCAGATCACTAAGTTAGAGAAGGCTCTGGCGGAGGAAAGGCCTAGATTGGCGTCTGAGAGAGCGGCGTACCCCGACCTGTGCAAGGCGGCGGTGGAGCAATTCAAGGAATCCGTCGAATTCCAGATAGCGATTGATGCCGCAGTCACCAGGAGCTTGGCGAGAGAGGGTGATGAGGGAGTTGGGCCGTCGGGAGCGGCCGTTGGAAATAGAAGCGAAGAGGAAGTGATCTAGAGCTTCCAGCGGTCGGATTTTTATAAGCATGAAATGGCTGAGTTCTGGGACAGCGGCTGGAAGACCTTCATGCACAGGGCGCGAGAGCTGTTTCCAGATATCGACTTCAGCCTCGTGAAGATAGGTAAGACGACGTCGCCCAGACCCCTCTAGACGAGGGGGTTGAGGAGGAGGACCTGGCCTCTAGTGAGGAGTGATCTATGTAGAAAATTGTACTTTTGTTGTTTTGTTTTGTGTTTGTTCGTTTTTGTTTAATTTCTGCAGCAAGTTGTATGTAACCGTAAATTTTGTAAATAAAATGACGAGTTTTCTTTTGTATCATTGTTGTCCTTATTTCTTCTGAGTTGTAAATTTAAAAATAATGAAAATGGCAGAGCAGAATTTAATGAAGAATGGTTGTAAAAGTAAGACATATGTATGAATTGTGAAACTTGCTAGTAGGTTGTGATGTAAAAAGTTTACAAATAGACAGCCAGTCTGACTTGTGAGAAAACTATGGTGCACAAAATGTCAAAAGTGAGCGTGCATGAGAATGTTAAGGAGTGTTAGAAATGAAAAATAGGCTTGGACGACTATGGGCTTGGATTTTAAATGAATTAGAAATGTAAAGTTAAAATTGTAAAGAATGTTAAAAGACGTCATAGTATGGACCTGG